TAAGGTGTTAGAATAACCATGGGGAAGGTGGTTTGTATAGTGACAGCCTGTTAGTGACAGCCCATCTGAACCAAGAGCTGAGGGTGCAGTTTGAGTGAAGAATACTCCTGACAGTAGGAGGTACTGGTATATAAATTCTAAGCTCATTACAGATACTACTCATGAAGGTACTATTATATTCCTGTTTTACAGATGAGGAAACAAATACAGAAAGCTAAGTAACTTGCCAATGGGCTAGTAAGTAACAAAGCTAGAGTTTGAAATGAGATCTTCAGAGTCCAGAGTATATGATCTAAATCTTTATGTTGTCTCATAGACCATAGTGAGGACTTTGGATTTTATTCTGAGTAAGATGAGATGCCATTGGAGGGTTTCAAGTAGAAATGTGACATGATACGATTGAATTTTTAGAAGAACTGGATTCTGTGTCCTTGGGGAGCTCTGTTGTCAAGTAGCTTAGTGCGGTGATTCAAACAGATAGGAACAGAAGCATTGCTGGAAATGTTCAGAGAGAATGGCAGTGTCACTAAAAAAAAGTGGGAAATATGTTCTAGATTAAAAGAAACTAAAAAGATACAACACCTAAATGCACCATATGAACCTTCATCAAATCCTGGCTTAGGTAAAAAACAAAAACTCCTATCAGACTACAGAGATGTAACCTATAAATGTAATGTGTGAAAAAAAAAAAAAAAAAAAAAACAACAACAAAACTGTAAAAGACATTTTGGGGACAGTGGGGAAAACTGAATGTAGATTGGATATAGATGGTACCAGGGAGTTATTAATTAATTTTCTTAGGTGCAACAGTGGTATTTTGGCGGGCAGGAAAATATTCTTAGAAGGCTCATACTGAAATACTTAGGGATGAGGTGTCATGATGTCTGCAAATGACTTTCATGTGGCTTAGTAAAAAGTGCATGTGTGTGTGAAGAGAGAGACATGCACACAAAAATGTCAGCCTGTTAACAATTGTTGAATCTAGGTGAAGGCTACAAGGCTATTCATTGTACCATTTTTTCAATTGATCTGTATGGAATTTTTCCAAAAAATTGGAGGCAACAGAAAGAGTGAATGGGAAGAAAGGAAATGGAGGAAAGGAAATAAATAGAGGGTCTGAGGGTCTTGCTGCAAAAAGAAGCAATGAATTGGTGGGGCATTAGAGGGAAATATGAGATTCAAGGTTTTCATTTTTTGTTTGAATTCTAGAGAGAGTGCAGCTGATAGTGATGATCCAATACAGAGGAAGAACTCAATGATCTAGGAGAGAGAGGGGAATTTAAAGATGTAGTTTTTGCTTACACATCAAAATCCGGCTCCTTTAACTAGGGAGTTGATTATTATTTCTATTAATTTCATCCAAAAATAAATCGTTAAAACAATTAATTATAGTCTTACATTATTTAATGTCTTTTTTTTTTTCCTGCTTAAATAGCAATATTTTTTGACTTGTTTTCTGCAGGTTGTAGGAAGTGTCCTGTATTTTACTAATTTTTGCCTTGATAAATTGGGGCAACCGCTACTAAATGAAAACCCTCAGCTTACCGAAGGATGGGAAATACCCAAGTATCCTACATAGTGAATGAAGATCTTTTATGCATCTTGCCAATAAGTTCACCTTTTAAAAAATTTCCAAATTTTGCAGACTATTATAACTATTCCTTAATAAAATTCACTAAAGGTACCAGCAAGTCTTCAGCCACATTGTTTCTCTAGAAGGGCAAGAAATACAAGTAAAGGCAAAAAGGTTTGTGTGGGGAGTTGTTTTATTCTTTTTTTTTTTTCCAACCAAAACCATAAACTCTTTTAGCTTGAAGAGTTAATATTCGTTATTGCTGGTTTACTATAAAGTAAAGTACAGATTGAGCTTGAATTTCAATGTATGGACATACATTAAATGTTTAAATTGATCATGTTTCTTGGAATTCATTGGTTCACACCTAATATGCCTGGGTGGGTGGAAAGGTATAATTGTTGCTGTCCGTTTAATTGCTGTCTTATAACCATCTGCCTTCTTTCCACATTACCTAACCGAAATATGATAATCTGTTTGCCTCAATTCTTCTGTTATTAACCACTGAAAAAACTCAAAAGAGGTAGCAGATTAGTCAGGAAGAGAATGGTTCTTGGTTAAAAGACTCTGCACAGTACTATTTGTTTAAATCACTAAGTATAGGAGATGTACCAGGTGTTAGTGATCTGTGATCTACTTGCTTTCTTGTCTCTGATGCATTTTGCTGTCATATAGAATTTTATTGATTTGCTTTCATATTTTTATTTACATTATCAAAATCTTTGTTTTTTGACCAAATAGGCCAAAGCCTCACTGTTTCAATTGTGGTTCTGAAGAACATCAAATGAAAGATTGCCCAATGGTAAATTTTTCTCATATAAAAAAGTCTTTGAACAACAGCTTTCTATGTTTTCAACACATTTATGTCATAGTGTGATATGAAGAAACTTCTTTTGTTGCTTTCTTATAGTTCTCTAATTTGAAATCTTTTCAAATTTGTGCTTACATTTTAAGACATTAAATGTTAAAAAAAAATAATTTATGACAGTACTGTCTGTATTTGAAGTGAATGAAACATAAGAGTTAATTTTTAGACAGTTTATTCTAAAAACTGAATTTTATGTTATAATAATACTGAGGTAGTAAAAAATTAATATGACTGCTTCTCTTCCTTGCTTATTTTTCTAAAATATCCATCCTCTTTTAAACTTGTTCTTGATGCATTAAAACTAAAATAATCTGCTTGACTTAAAAAGTGATTATTTGTACTTAATTTGTGAAATATTTCTAAGTTTCTTGATACCATTCTTTCAAACATGTGATTTAGCCTCGAAATGCCGCTCGAATAAGCGAAAAGAGAAAAGAGTATATGGATGCCTGTGGAGAGGCAAATAGTCAGAATTTTCAGCAGCGATATCATGCTGAAGAAGTAGAAGAAAGATTTGGAAGATTCAAGCCAGGAGTTATTAGGTACTCCTGTCACTTTACCATAGACTGTCATTTTTATTTCTCCAGTATTTGGAACATGCTGTGTATCTTCAGAGTAATTATCAGGATGTAAGTGTACTCTAGCAAGGCCCTAGGTAACATACATTAATTCATTCAAAGACATTTATTGAAATCTTAACTCTGTATTTGTTAGGCATCATGCTGCATGCTACGTAATATAAGACAGAAATGTTTTAAAATATCAGGACATTATATGTTTTCGTGCATACAAGAATTCAATGTTTTTCTTCCTCTTTTATTTTTACTTAGTGAGGAACTTCAAGATGCACTGGGTGTGACGGATAAGAGTCTCCCACCTTTTATCTATCGGATGCGCCAGTTAGGGTACCCACCAGGGTGGCTTAAAGAGGCTGAATTGGAGAATTCAGGTCTCGCACTCTATGATGGAAAAGGTATAGTATGTTAAGTTGGAGACGTCAGCTGAAGTGTTGTCTTTTTTTTTTTTTAATTAAAGAAAAGAATCACAACAAAATGTGATAGGAGTGGCTGGCTTATTTAATGGGTGCTAACTAAAAAATATGATGTTTTCTTTGTTTTACAAGGAAGGGACTAAAACTTTAGTGAGTCTGTAGAATTATCAGATTGTTATCTGTACTTGCTCAGTGGCTATCTAGGCCAAAGTATCAACACTCCACTCTCCAGCTGGTCTTCACAAGCCCTCACCTTTCTCAGTAATGGTGATAGACAGAGATCTATCAGTGCTGAGAGACCTATAAAATTTAGAATACAGAAATCGTCTCAGAGCCTAGAACTCTTCTCCTAGATATCTACCCTGGAAAGATATGCACACATGTGTACAAGGAAATGTATGTATTCAAGGATATTTTTGTAGTATCTAATATGACAGTGAAATTAAAAACAACATTAAGTTCCTAAAGGGAGGAATGATTACATAAACTGGTAGTTCCAAGCTGCGGCCTCCTTGCAGCATATAAAGAGTGGAATAAATCTGTATGAATTCACATGGCAAAATCTTTGTGCAATAGTGAATTTAAAAAAGCAGGTTTCTGGCCGGGCGC